ACTGCTGTATAGATTCTGGAAATGTATTTTACCTGCTCATCAATGTATATACTGAGATGTAAATCATTTAGGTATTATTAATTACTTAATTAATTACTAATTCAAAAGGATCTGGAACATTGCCAAAGACCCTCTTGAAGCCCTTTCCTGTTTTATATATATGTAAGGATAGGGCAGCTGATTTGACATATTTTTAATATTTGAAACAAATCTCATGAAAAGACCAAAACCAACAACATATTAGTCCGTCTCTCAATACTGTCTGACCTCTGACTTAACAATGAGTCACAGTTTCATTTTGAAAAAGCTGTGTACTGTAGTGTTTAACAAACATCACTCGAACAACAGGGACTATTTTCAGCGTCACATTAATACACATTTTGTGCACTAGTGAGTATTTCTGGCAGCAGGACGGAGTGTGTCTGGACTGACTCAAAAGAACTATAGTGTGTGTGTTACATGTCTCCCAGTGATGCTGTCTCACTCATTGATGTGTTTCAATAATTGTTGGACAACAATGCCACAGAGATCTAATGTATAAAGACTTTGGACAATACTTGTCTTCACTCACTGTTGGTTTGATCACCAGGCTCCTTTAAGATTTTTACCCAAAATACAGTTGGAAGAGTGCCCATACAAGCGTGGTAGAATTAGAAATATGTTTACATCAACTGTTAGTCACAGAAGTAAAAGAAGAAAATGATTTTAAGAGGGTCTAACCCACCCTAACCCTAACCCTAACCCTAACCCTTTGGAAATGTTCCATCCAAATACAACAAACAAACAATAATAACGTAAAACTGATCTAGAAAGGCTTTCAGTTGGTTTCTTTATTTCTTTTTTTCTTTTACACTTCTTTTCATTGATTCTATGAATGAAGTTAGTTGCTACACTAACCTTTACTCACTCAATATACAGCCTAACGGTCCACCGGTTCTGGCTCTGGAGCCGATCTGCTGACTGCATTGGGTCCATGACCAAAGCGTCTCATGCACGGCTCTTTTCTCCCTCAGCGAGAAATGTGCCTTAAATCTTACTAGCTTTGATTTGGAATACTCTACATTATTGAGGACATTCAGATAAACGATGCTGTAGGGTAGTCAAGAAATCAAACTGAGTAAAGGAGGCACAAAGCCTCTGTTCCAACATCTAAATGACCTACAAACATGTTTTATGCTAAAAATGTCAGCTAATCAACCTCTAAACTACATAAAACATTCAGCTGCTGCACAACAAGCGCTCCTGGTGTGAAAAGTTTCCTGTGCACATTAAAACTGCGATGGAGCCATAGCACAACCTGCTGCAGCCAGATCAGTGGACATTGAGCACAAGTCTTTTTTTGTTTTGTAGAATTTTTGTTTTAATACGATTTTATAATAAAGCAAAGTATTGAATGGAAATTAAAGATATGGAAGTCTTGTTATGCTCAGTAACAGTAAGAGAAGTAAAGGGCTTTAGGAGGGACTAACCTCCCTAACCCTGACCCTGTGGAAATGTTCCATTCAAATACATGCTTCTCTCTCTTTCACCCCAACTGGCTGAGACAGACGACCACCCACCTAGAGCCGAAGGATCTGTCCTAGGTTTCTGCCTTTTAACAGGCAGTTTTTCCTTGCCCTTGTCGCCAAGTGTCTTGCTCATGGTGGTACTGTTGGGTCTCTGTAAATAATGTTTTAAAGAGTTCGGTCTAGACCTGCTCTATTTGAAAAGTGTCCTGAGATAACTTCTGTTATGAATTGGCGCTATACAAATAAAATTTAATTGACTTGAATTGAATTGAAAATATATACTTAACTTATCAATACACACTAGCTTTTGTTAGTTTTAAAAGAAGAAATAAGAAGAGTTTAAAGGCTTATAATTACTTATCTAAACTTATCTATAGACTTATCTATAACCCAATCGTATCACTTATCTGTAACCTAATCAAATTGCTTTCATTACTAATACGTCTGACAGTTATTTCCTTGATTAAACAATGAATAGTTTGGTCTATAAAATGCCAGAAAACAGTGAAAACTTGTCATCATATTTGAGTCTAAAGTGACGATGTCAAATGATGCAAAAAAGAAAAACTGTAAATCCTCACATTTGAGAAAGAAGAACCAGGGAACATTTGGCATTTTACTTTAAAACAACAGATTAATCAATATAATTGAAACAGTTGCCCACTAATTTTCTGCCATCGACTCATTGATTAGTCATCAAAACTTTGCAACTCAATGGATGGCTGACATTTTAAAAGAAAGACCAACACAGACCTCCTGGTCTCTGGAGCCCTCTCCATTCGCCCATAGGTGTTCAATTGATTCACATCATTTTCATTCTCATCAAATTCAATGATCCTTCATGTTCTGTATGAAAGCATCTGTATTTGTCATGTTTCATTCATTCAGGTTTTTCCTGTAATTTGCGACTATATTTATATCCCTGACTTATCATTACTTATTTATAACTTACACTTATTACTATATCTATATCCCTAACTTATCACTAGACATTTCTTCATTTTTTTTTTTTTTTTTGAAGGAGGAAAAGAAAGAGAAAGAAGCCAATAATTATACTGTACCTGCTGATGCAACAGTCCCCGGCCCTTTACCTGTGAGGGGTCTTACATCTCCGGACTGAGTGAAGAATAGTTTCACCGTGCAAACAGGTGGAACCCAATGGAGCACGCGCACAGAGGGTGTGGGCCCACTGAACACAACCTCAACTGCAAAGTACCCCTCACTCAGCCGGCAGGGTCTCATGTGCTGCTCCCTCTGTCTCCTCCTCCTCCTCCTCCTCCTCCTCCTCCTCCTCTCCCAAGCCTGTTGGAGAGATGGACAGAGGAGAGAAAGGAAGAAACTGCTCAAACTAGTTCAGTAAGAAGAATGAGAAAGTCGTGTGGGCTGAGAGAGAGTGTGGAGGCCACTCTGCCAACAGAAACCACTCACAGTCCTCTTTCAGGCAGCCTCTAGAGCTTGACGCTGTGGGCCAGAGCTGGCCTGCTGGGGCCTGGAGCTCCTCTCTGGCTGGACAGGGATCACCTGCGAGCCAGAGGTGGAGGGCTGGGAGCTGAAGCTCCTCTCACTGTTGCGTGATCTTTGACCTGCACGCTCCTCGTGGGCTCCAGGGCTGTTCTCCTGCTCCCTCTTCCTCTTGTTGCCGTCCTGTTAGACAGATGGAGAGAAGGAAAAAAGAAGGAAATAGGTTAACCTTGTTCAGTTAAATCTCTTTCAGACTGGTGCAGTAGAGTTGGATCAATCTATAACTGAATGTATTATCAAGATAGGACAGAGGAGTAACTAATATCATTGATCTGTGATGTTCACTCCAGGAGTTACTTCTGTGGTGTACTCACACTCCCTCAGTTTGTCTCGTCCAGATAAGGATTTCCTACATTTCCCAGGAAGTCAATATCAGCTCTGTCTTTTCCAATTGATGTTAAATATTATTGGCTAGTTTGTGCAACTTTCTAGTTGTTGTAATTGATAACATTAACTCATTTCATTTTGTAACAACGTGTGTATCAGTGGCTTATAACAGTATTATATAGTATAAAAAAAGTTTGTTTTTTTTTGCTATAGTATATATCACTTGACAATGAACCCTGTTAAATCTTTTTAAAACAACAACAAAAAAAAGGTTTTAAAGAATGTGTTTTTTTCAGCGGATTCATATACTTACCTTGTCCATGTCAAGAAGAGAAACAGCTAGTGGTCAGCGCTGGTCCTTGCTCTGGTTGTGGTCATGGTTGATGGTTGGTGTCTCCTTCCCTGGCTTCGCCGCTCTTTAAGTGACGCTTCCTATATATGAATGCCACACCCCCACCTGCTGAGCCGGTGTTTACACTATTTATTTATTTTAATCAGTGTTTTCATAAAAAAAATTTTAAAAAAGATTTACACTTGGGTTTAATCAAGGGGTCACATTATTTACATTTTCTTATTAATTGCCAATAAACTCAACTTGACACATCCTTTAAAACCCTTTATAGTATTAACAAGCTGTTATTATACAACATGAGTGTGTAACCTTTGAAGCTGAAAAGCCTAAATTCATGGATTAAGTGCAACTATAAGCAGCTGTTAGGAGCAGAGCCTTTGTAAGTCTGAAAGTGTTTTTTGTACATAATCTCTATGAACACATCATTTCCAGATACATTATATATATGTCAGCAGAAGAGGCACCAGATACTGTACAGAGTATTTCTATGGACATATACCTTAAATGTATAATGTTCAAGTTTTTATATGACCATGATGGTACATACTGTTACACACTGATACTGTTTAAATGTTAATATATCCAAAACAGTGACAAGTTACATTTTATTATAAGGAAGACGTTACTATACAGGCTCGAATGTCAGCAGATCGGCTCCGGAGCCAGAACATAAAGGTTAGTGTAGCAACTAACTTCATTCATAAAATCAATGAAAAGAAGTGTAAAAGAAAGAATACCTAATTGATTTACATCTCAGTATATTCATTGATGAGCAGGTATAAAATACATTTCCAGAATCTATACAGCAGTGTAAGTTTGTTAAACTAGTGTGTGAACATCAGGGACATATATTTGGATGGAACATTGTCAGAGAGCTGATCTGCTCCAGCAGTTGTCACACCACTGACTGAAAAGCTATGACAGCTTTTAAATCTACCAATTAAACTATACAAATACAAATGTTGGCTGCACACATTTTAGGTAACACTGTAAGAGCTGCATACGTGAGAAAATGTTTATTGGGAAAATATGAATAGATGGGAAAATAAGTAAAATTCTCCATATGTAGGAAATATATAAACTATGAGCATTATAATCTGTTCCCATTATCATTACCATGTGAACAGCATTCTTCCACTTGAGAAATTGGTTGAGTTAATGTTGGGTCTTAAGGGGTTAAAGATAGTACTTTTTGAAAAGATGAATCTAGTTCATGTTACCTGCGTCACAGAGCGTCCTCTCCATCCAGGTTTGTTGACGTAAGAATAAATGAAAGCTCATAAACCACAGCATCATCATGAAGTCATTTTATGCAAAACCAGTCACCTTTCTCATTCCACTCAAACACCCAACATTTTTATTTTCAGATTTTTTTAAAAACACGTGTGGCTCTCAAACAGATGTCATGTTCTCGTGTATGCTTCTCCAGCGTCCTCCTAACAGAACGAGGAGTCGACTGAGGTTGTTGTATGCATTGTTGATAGATTTTTCCATTTGTTAACAAACTTGTGAATGATAGCTCTCAAAATATTTTTTAAAAAGGATGCAACATACAAAACTTAAAAGCAGGAAAAAACTGTAAAAAGTACTAATTTTTATAAAGTATGTACTTCTCTTCCCTTCACATAAACATTCACCAAGACATAAATACAAGTTGCTGTCACACAAGGGATTTGAAACTGTTATATGGTGAGAAGATATCACGTTACCACACTAGACAGGATTGGGTTTGTTCTAGAGGCTGTTTTTTAAAAATTGGATCTACTCGTCTGTGTTGGTCCACTGTGAGTGTAAAGAGCCCACATCAGGATGAAACTAGATTTAAAGCTGCTCAGGTAGGGAGGGACTTATAAAAAATCCACATGTGGGCATCAATTCCACTCAAGAAGCAGCAGTCCCTCTCTGTTGTCAGCTTTATCTGCAGTTTCTATCAAACCAAACTGTACTTACAATTTAGTTACAATTTCTATGACAGTGCAACTTGTACAACTTAACTAATGCGTGAATATTGGTAGATAACTGTAAAGGTTATCAAACAAAGGTTTCATTAATCCTTAAGAAAATGTTCTAATTATTTATTTCTAATACGAGTAGCTAGAGGAAAAATGGGCTCTTTCCTTGAAATAACTTCTGCATTTAAACCCAAGGATTGTCCTTATCAATGAAACTACTAATTTTCTAGACCTGCAAACCAGGGTAAATAATCTGATCATTATTGTCTTGATTAATTGTTTAGTCGATAAAATGTTGGGCCATAGTAGAAATATGTCCGTCACATTCCAAAGGCCCAAGGTGACGCCAACCAGTAAGTGATTCTGTTCACTGTGACAGAAAACAGAGGAAAGCAGAAACACCATAGAATGTCTGACATTTTCTTTGAGCAATATCAACTAAAATAAAGGTTTTATTTGACCCTCAATATATCAGTTGGTATTGTTCTTTGGTGTGTGTATTTCTGAACACAATCAATCAAATTACAACAGTGAATGTGGGGCTTTCTGGGCTCCTGGGGGCCCCATGGTAGTTGTTATGCCCTGCTGTTAATCCAGCCTTAATTTTTCACATAAAGTGTTTTCCCCTTATGAAATTCTCCGAGGAAGCTGATAGAATAAATAGAGCATGTGTCTACACTACATACAGTATCACTAACCTCAATCAAACTGTTAACATTACCCCCTCGTCTCAGAACACCCTGAGTGCTTCACATGTACACGCATGAGTCATCAGTCAAGTATTCTACATTTGGTCCAGGCGAGCTAGAAAACAGGAATCCATGCTTCGTCTCTCGACGATCAGAGCTCGTCGTGGCGCAGCGGCTCCTGGCTGGGCTGGATGAAGACGCCCTCCATGGAGCGCCACCAGTTGTGCTGGTTGGGAGAGCTCATGCCGTGGACCTCACGCTGGCCGCGGATGGGGTGGCCGTACTGCTCACCGGTCACACTCAGGAAAACGTCGGTGCCCACGTGCTTAAAGCGCACGGCCTCGTCACGCTCCCAGTGGTCGCCGTCGCACTGCACTGACCACACGTCCAGGTCATCGCCCTCGCCGCTCTCTCCAAAAGCGCTGACCTCCTGCAGACAGGTAGAGGAAAAGAAAAAGATTTGTACAGTTGTCAGTAAGTGTGCAGAGCTAAACCAATGTGAATGTATCTACATATTGTTTGTATCAAAGTCTCATATAGTCTCTGTGCCACAGAACTCCAAATACAAGAACAGTGTGTGTACCACTGTCTGACCTGGTTATTAGACAGGGGCGAGCTGAAGTGGTGTGTGTGGAGATTTCGGCCAGTCTTCATGTGTGTGATGCGGATGGTCTGACCACACTTGATGGCTGTCCCACGCTGACATGGGCGGTTGGGCTTCCCACGAATCTGCCAATAACTGTTGGCATCATCTGCATTCTCCACTCCGGTTACAGACTGCTGTCCACTGCCTGCACACACACACACGCACACACACACACAGACACGATCTATTTAGCATGTCAGATTGAAGAACTCTAGTTATCCCGATGCATGTCGAGGTATCCTTGAGTAAGATACTGAACCCCGAATTGCTCCCAATGCTGTGCATCGGTGTGAATGTGTATGAATGAGTTAGTTTCTGTTAGATGGATGCCCATTTAGTAATTGAGCTTCATAATAACATAATAATGAAGTATTTCCTCTTTATAAAGTTGCTTTTAAAAACAAAAACTTTTTGCAGTTTAGTGGTAAAGTTTAATGATGGGAAATAAAGATACAAATAAGGTTAGTGTTTTGAAACTGCAGGTCTCAATTAGTTGAGGGTAGAAACCACAATCAGCTTATGGGGACTCTAAATACAGTCATGTGACTTTGGATGAACGTACATCAAAGTGTTAACTTACTATCACACACCATCAAAGTTGTTGTTCTGCACCAGAAGATTCAGCAGGTGTGTGATAAAGTATATTAGCAAGTCAACTTTCATATTGCACCTAATTTATTACAGAAATATAATGTGTTGTTAACGGTCTTGTTAGTTAGGAATATTTGATGTTTTCGGTCATTATTAGTGGAATGTTATCAGCCAGTTCTGCAGTGTCAGCGCTCTGTGTTTTCCTGTGTGGGTGGAGGCTGATTTGCCTTCAGACTGTTCCTGTATCACTTTCAGGCCCTCTACTTGAAAAAAGTACACGTCTCTTATCTCCACCTTTAGTGGGTGTCAGCAAAACACGTTAGTGTGTGAATATACTGTACGTGAACAGATATACAGCTTTGCCTGTTAGATACAGGGAGTAATAATACACCGCTACAATTAGTTAATTTATCAATTAGTTTTGAACTATTAAATTAATTTGATAATTGATTAATTGTTTGGAGTCATTTTTTTTTAGAAAAACTGTCCAAATTCTCTGATTTCAGCTTCTCCAATGTGAATATTTTCTAAATAAAATAAAAACAAGACATTTGAGGACGTTATCTTGGGCTTTGGGAAACAGTGATCACCATTTTTCACCATTTCCTGACATTTAGTGGACAAAACAACTGAAGGATTAACTGAAAAAATGATCCACAGATTCATCGATAATGAAAATAGTCATTAGTTAAAGCCCTGGACAGTAGAGCTTCACAAGTTCCAAGTTAGAACAAGCAGACAGAAGAGATACAGCAGTTCAGGTGGATTACCTTTCCAAATAATGATTCTTGTGGGGAAATTAGGTCATTGCAGTGGTAAATGGTAACAGGAGAAGATGGAAGGCCAGTGGAGTAAATGAGAGGACTACAAACACATGACCAGGAAATGAGCAGATGCAAGATGGGAAAATGAAATACAGAACTAACAGAGGAACACAAAACAGCAGGATTAACAGAACTGCAAAATAAAAGTGAATAAATAGTCATTTTTATCATTATGGTAATTATAACCATGGCGTGGAGGAGATGTATATATGAACAGAACATCTCTCCAAGAATATGTAGTGTGACATAAGAAGACAGTCAAGAGAGCAGTTATCCCAATCGAATCTCAATCTAAGGCATGATATTCAACTTGCTACAGTATTAACTTTATAATGTGCTTTACTTTGACAGGTTTGACAGGAAGTCCGGTGGTTTACATTTTTGAAGAATTGACACCGGCATAAAAGACAAACTAATATATTTAAATTCATTCCTGAGGAGAAACTATTGGTATATTTTATATAGAGACATACAGTTGACACATTTGATTCTCTGGACTAAAAATTGAACTGGTTGCTTAGCTGACATCCTGTCATTAGGTTTTGGGGGAAAACAATGCCAAACTGCATTGACAGAAATGACAATTGAATATTTTTTCTGCTTCACATCAAGAGAAAAAACCCTGAGAGATTACCTAATACATTTCAAAAATGTGTAGTAACTCTTGTTAATTTCGTCGTGGGACAAGGATGTTTGTATCGATTCAATTTGAAGTTATAGCATTTGTTTACCACCTGTCATTCCCACAGTGCTCTTCCGTCCCGGTAGACCGCAGTGGGCGGCGGCTGTCGTGAGCCGGTGTCAGATAACGATACCGGTTGACGTTTTAAGAAATACACAACTGCTTACTAAATCTTCTTAATGCCGAATCCACCACCAAGTCCAAACATAAGAGGCCTTGCGTTTAGTATGAGTCGTGGTTTGTGTTATGTTTGCACATGAGCAAGGCAATTTTAATTCGTCTGAATTTTTAATGAAGTTCAACATTCCGTCCTCTAAACACCAACAACCAACAACCAACGGGTTGTTGGTTGTTGGTTGTTGTCGCGGGCTTTAAAGCTCATGTGTGTGAATGGAAGTACAGACAGACTATAGGCTACTCGAGTGAAGTTACCTGAGCCATATTTGACATCGTGGGAGTGCAGGCGGACGTTGTGTCTGGTGTTGAGCAGCTTGACCAGCGAGCCGCAGGTCACATAGTTGAGCTCCGACTCTCTTCCTTCACAGTTTGACCACAGCAGCACAAACAGCAGAGATCTGACAAAAACATGGACAGCGTGAATTATCTCCATCTTTGTGTCTCTGTTCGCAGACACTGAGGAGGATGAACAGTCACTTTCAAACGTTACTGCTGGGTTCAACCAATCACAGCTTGACAAGTCCTAAAATACGGAACTAAAAGTCGATACGTGATTGGTTAAAGTACGTGTATGTGCGGTCATGGTTGTGGCAAGTGGGAAGCCGGAAGTGGGGATCTGATATTTATGACTAATATTTCAGCATCCAATTGTACTGTATGGTGTTAATGTAGCAGCAATGAAATGATCGAGAAGAAGAGAGATTATGCATAAAGTACTCTTTTAACATCAAAAGCAGATGCACTGTGTTCAGAAAGAAAGCTGGAAACAATGTGAAATGACAGGTAAAAGAAAAAAACAGGTAGAGAATGAAATGTAGTGTTGATGCCACATACATTCAGTGTATATATCCAGGAAAAGAAAGTTAAAGAAACAGTTGATCTCCAAGAAAACATGTTTGATTTCCATTAAGCCCAGAGTCAAATCAGAACATTACCAGTTTGATGAATGTACATCCTAGAGACAGGTCAGGGGTTTAGTGCACCAGCTTAGTTGCTAATCATAACAACTAAACCAAGAACTCGGATGGGACAATACATGATATAATTGCGTATCACAATAAGAAGCACTCAGATAAATTTATAGTGGTGTGTTTCCATTATCGTGATAATTGGCTTGAAATGGCTGTCTAGCTCGCCAGCACTCAGTCCTAAATTGATTTTCCTTATTTATTTTGAACAAGGGGACAAGAGGGAGCCCACATCTTTACAGTCATTCCATTCATCCTAATCCTGTCACCATGTGACCCAAAAAAAGCTAAACAATTTGTATTAAAATAGTATAGATTCCAAAATAAACAACAGGGAGATGAGGTGCCTGTCGGTGAAGGTAAAGTGAGTCCAGTATGTTTTGGTGCCATTTTAAAAGTATGAAGTATATTTTCATGATTGATGATGATAATATCGTATATCGCAGTTATTTTGGCCAAGATAATTGTGACATAAAATGTTTATATTGTCCCATGCACATTAGTAATGTAATCCATTGGATTACAAAAAGGAATTTATTCTAATCTGAATACTTATACAAAAGAAATAGACACACCCACAAAAGTTTAGTTCAGATAATCAATTTTTACATTCAAGTGTTTCTTCACAGCTTTCTGTGGTGCACAAAATAGTCATCTTCTCATGGCTGAGAAAAACAATAAAAAGCCTCCCCCGCCCTCCCCTTTTCCAAACCACCACTGCCCTCTCGTTCAAAAATGAAGGGTTTTAATCAAATTACCACACAGGAAACCCAGGACCAGTTGGTCGTCTAGCGTAGGAAACCTGCTAATATTGTGCATGCAGAGAGTGGGAGGAGCAGGGATTAAAGGGGCCTAAACTCATTTTTGCTGCCCTCCTATCAAGCTAATCTTCTCATGATGGTAAAACAAACTTAAAGCAGGGAAAGTTGTCCTGCAGAATCTGATGAATACTTCTTTGCCCTATTTTAGCCATATTTCAATGGCTACATTGCTTTGTTGATTTTAATGATCTGGAAAGAAAACCAAGATGCTGCCAACCAGGAAAATAATTTATGAATTTGTTAGTACCAGTGTAAAAGTTAAAGCTCATATAACATAATAGAGTTTCAGTATTTGGTAAATATATTTTAATCTGGTTTAAACTTTATTTACTCTGATTTTTCTAATGTGATATAGACAGGCATTGACGTCAGAGTAAAATCTTCAATAAAGTGACCAATAATAAAAGGGGGGGTCCTGGGACAGGACAGGACAGGACTGAAGTGGACCTTGTCCTTCATCTTCTCCCAGACTCTGAAGGACAGGTTGCCTAGGTGTTTGGCCACATCTAACAGTGCTCCTGAGAGCAGCTGTGGATCTGACAGTGAGCAATGGACTCTGGCTCTGGTCTGAGTGGGTTTATAACTGCTGAGGAATGGCACGTTGTGTTTCTGCAGCACTTCTTACACTGCAGCCAGTTCTATTTGTTATAGTGTACCACGCTCCTGGACCGTACTCTGATTTTATATCTGAATTCTCAGAGTTTTTATCAAGTTTAGTCCTTAAATCAGATAAAGTAATTATTGTAGGTGATTTTAATATTCATTCATGGATGTTGACAATGACAGCCTTAGTAACGCATTTATCTTATTAATAGACTCAATTGGCTTCTGTCAGAGTGTAAATAAACCAACTCATTGTTTTAATCACACTCTTGAGCTTGTTCTATCAAATGGCATTGATATTGAACATTTAATAGTCTTCCCACATAATCCTTTCCTATCTGACCATTATTTAATAACTTTTGAATTCATACTATTAGATTATAAGCCATTTGGCAAAACTTCCTACAGCAGATGTCTATCTGACAGTGCAGTAGCTTAATTTAAGGATATTCCTTCAGTGTTTAATTCAATGCCATGTCTGAATTTAACAGAGTCCTATAATAACCTTAGTCCCTCCGAAATTGATAATCTTGTTGATAGTGCTGCAGGCTCACTACGAAGAACATTAGATCGCTCCTATAAAAAGGAAATTGTTAAAACATAGGAGACTAGCACCGTGGTACAACCACCAAACCCGCCAGTTAAAACAAATAGCTAGAAAATCTGAAAGGAAATGGCGCTCTTCTAAATTATCAGAATATCACTCAATTTGGCAAGATAATCTTAAAACCTATAGAAAGGCCCTCCATAACACCAGAGGAGCCTATTATTCAGCACTAATAGAAGAAAATAAGAATAACCCTAGGTTCCTCTTCAGCACTGTAGCCAGGCTGACAGAGAGTCACAGCTCTATTGAGCCACATATCCCCATAAACTTAAGTAGCAACGACTTTATGAGCTTCTTCTATAATAAAATGATTACTATTAGAGAGAAAATTAATCACCAACTGCCATCAACAGTTATCAGTGGCTCTCCAAGTTCAGGGACTTTAAGTAATGTAAACTCAGATATATATTTAGACTGTTTTTCTGATATCGATCTTCATCAGTTAACTTCAATAATTTCTACATCGAAGCCATCAACCTGTCTGTTAGACCCGATCCCAACTAGGCTGCTTAAAGAAGTCGTACCCTTAATTGGCACTTCTTTACTGGATATGATTAATCTTTCTTTATTATCGGGATATGTACCACAGTCCTTTAAAGTAGCTGTAATTAAACCCCTTCTTAAAAAGCCCACTCTTGACCCAGGGGTTTAACCAACTATAGACCGATCTCTAACCTCCCCTTCCTCTCTAAGATTCTGGAGAAAGTAGTCGCCAAAGAGTTGTGTGACTTTCTACATAACAATAGTTTATTTGAGGATTTTCAGTCAGGATTTAGAGTTCATCACAGCACAGAGACAGCTCTGGTTAAAGTTAATAATGACCTTTTGATTGCTTCTGACAATGGACTTGTCTCTGTACTTGTATTATTAGATCTTAGTGCTGCATTTGACACCATTGACCATAATATTCTTTTACAGAGACTTCATCATCAAATTGGCATTAAAGCAACCACACTAAGCTGGTTTAAGTCATATTTATCAGATCGTTTGCAGTTTGTACATGTTAACAATGAATCTTCAATAAATACTATAGTTAGTCATGGAGTTCCACAAGGTTCTGTACTTGGACCAATACTATTTACTTTATATATGCTCCCTCTAGGCAACATTATTAGGAATCACTCCATTAACTTTCACTGTTATGCAGATGATACGCAGTTATATCTATCAATCAAGCCCGATGAAATTAATCAATTATCTAAATTACAAACATGTCTTAAGGACATAAAATCCTGGATGAGCTGCAATTTTCTGATGTTAAACTCAGACAAAAACGAAATTCTTGTACTTGGCCCCAAAAATCTTAGAGACTCACTGTCTAAAGATATAGTTACTCTAGATGGCTTTACCTTGGTCTCTAGCACCACTGTCAGGAATCTTGGAGTTATCTTTGATCAGGATTTGTCATTTAATTCCCACATGAAGCAGACCTCTAGGACTGCCTTCTTTTATTTACGTAATATTACAAAAATTAGACACATCCTATCACAGACAGATGCAGAAAAACTAACCAACTACGCTGGATTACTGCAACTCTTTATTATCAGGTTGCCCCAATAAGTCCATTAACGCTCTGAATTAATTCAAAACGCTGCAGCACGAGTACTGACAGGAACTAGAAAAAGAGATCACATCTCTGCTGTACAAGCTTCTCTGCACTGGCTCCCTGTAAAATTTAGAATAGAATTTAAAATCCTCCTCCTCACCTACAAAGCTCTTCATGGTCAGGCCCCTTCATATCTTAAAGAGCTCATAGTACCCTATTACCCCACTAGAACACTACGTTCTCTGAATGCTGGGCTACTTGTGGTTTCTATAGTCTTAAAAGTAGAACAGGAGCCAGAGCCTTCAGTTACCAAGCTCCTCTCCTGTGGAACCAGCTTCCAGTTGTGGTTCGGGAGGCAGACACGCTCTCCACGTTTAAGAGTAGGCTTAAGACATTCCTCTTTGATAAAGCGTATAGTTAGGGCTGGATCAGGTGAGTCCTGAACCATCCCTTAGTTTTGCTGCTATAGGCCTAGACTATCGGGGGATTTCCCATGGTGCACTGAGCTCCTCTCTTCCTCTCTCTTTCTGCACTCATTCATGTTCCATTAATGCATGTTACTAACTTCACTTCTTCTTCGTTCTTGTGCTTTCTCGTCTCGCAGGTTCTTTTAGATCCTGGTGGAGCCTCCTGCCATGGTCCTGCTAGATTGCCATTGCCAATACTGTTGTTGCTGTGCACCTGTCTGTCTGTCTGTCTCTCTCTCTGTCTCTGTCTGTCTGTCTGTCTGTCTGTCTGTCTCTCTCTCTCTCTCTCTCTCACCCCAACTGGTCGAGACAGACGACCACCCACCTAGAGCTGAAGGATCTGTCCTAGGTTTCTGCCTTTTAACAGGCAGTTTTTCCTTGCCCTTGTCGCCAAGGTCTTGCTCATGGTGGTACTGTTGGGTCTCTGTAAATAATGTTATAAAGAGTTCGGTCTAGACCTGCTCTATTTGAAAAGTGTCCTGAGAGAACTTCTGTTATGAATTGGCGCTATACAAATAAAATTGAATTGAATTGAATTGAATTCTTCAACAGCAGAGATACTGTCTGATACTGCCCCTCAACCCTCTTCATTTCTCTGCTGCTAGTCTTCTGCTTCTGCTCCTCTTCCTCCCTCAGAGCTGCCAGTCTGGACTCCTCTTCCTCTTTCAGGAACTGGTGGAGCTTGTTGAATTCTACTCTGCGTCTGTGTGGACAGCAGCTGCTTCCTCGGAGTGCTGAATCACTTTATTGTACGTTTTCTCCACTTGTTTGTATTTGTCCCTCTTGTCCTGTAGAGACTTTAAGTCAGATTTCAGCTGGTCCTTCAGGTCACTGACTGCTTGTTCTAAAGGAACCACCTTGTGACCGACGTGGTGAGGAAAATCACAGACAGTACACACAGCTCTATCTTCATCTTTCCAGAACAATTTAGGCTCTTCTTGATGTTTATCACACACCACCTCCACCTTCTTCTCTCCTTTTTCTGTCTCGGATGATCCAGATTTCTTTCTCCCAGCAAAGTAGTCACCCAGCTTTCTTTTGAAGGTTTTCTTTTACAAATGGGACAGTTTTTGTTTTTAGCTTGTTTCCATAATTTTTGCAGGCAGCTTGAACAGAAGCTGTGATTGCAGCTCAGAGACACCGGATCTCTGAAAGTCTCTGAACACTAATAGCAGTTAAGGAAACTTTCAAAAAGAGCTCTCTCAGCCATTTGTTATTGAAGATAGTTTCACCAAGTTACTGTCTCTTGATTGTTTAAAATATTCCAGACGTGTGTTTTCAGTGAAGATCTCACACCCTGTAATGGCGTAATAATTCTAACCCTAACCCTGTTCAACAATGTCGAAATCTGCTTTCACTTACTTTTACCAGTCACAGGTGAATTTCTACCTGTAAGAAATGCTGTCATGTCATTTTGCCACCAGCAGATGGAGTTGTCAGGATGTCATTCAAAGTTTAATTTTTTTTCTTTTGATTCAGAACAATTTAATTTCTTTGTACAGGCAGTTGACAAAAATAAGATAAAAGGCAACATAAAAACAGAAATGGTCACAAACTGACAAGGAGAGGATTGTAGTATTTTAATGGAACGAGGACTGAACATTTTAACAGGCTGACTGACACTAAAACAGTTTTACAACATTTTTATTTTTCAGTCAAAGGAAACATGTTCTGCTAATATGTCTGCATATTCATATATATATATATATATATTGTCAGGTAACATAGCTTTTATTTTAGATTTTCCTTCTTCATCACAAGTCAAAGCAGCCAAATGTATGTATTTTGTGTGAAGTGAAGTATTTTCTAAAACTTGAGGGGTCAAATCATAACTTTCTGTATATGCAATTATTAATCAGTCAAAAACAGTAAATATTCATAAATTAGTTTCAGGGCACACGTAGCTCACCTGGAGGATCGCACAACCCATGTAGGCTGGGTCTTTGCCATGTCATTAAGTGGACATTTCCATTCATCATTCATGTTATTAACCATGTATACACTCATATAGTGTGAAGAAGCACTGTAAGAATTAAAGACTGAATTAAAATAAAACAAAAAAATAAACAAGAGATCCAAAACTGAAATAACTCATCAGATGATCCAAAAATATCAAAAACTAAAACTGATGACTAATGATTTAAAAAAAAGAAAAAAAGCTAGATTAAAGCATTTGTGCAGTGGATATATACTACTGAAATACAATGTTGTTTGACTCAAATCAAGATGATCATCAGGATAATTAACAGCTTTAATTTGTAATGTTTGTCTCCTGATGATGTGATACAGTTTCAGTATTTAACATAATCAAATATTGTGATAATATCCATTAAAAAAGAACAGAAAAGAAAAAGCAGGAGTTTCTAACTTCATGAATTTTGGACAAATTAAATACAAAAAAACATTTTCTGGCTCAAAGTCTTTAAAAGGATGATTTTCAGATTAAAACAATGATTAATGTGTTTACAGTGGGTTGCATGACAACAAAAAATAAAAATGAAAAAACCACTGACAGACATAATTTGGGAGACAGTTCTTGAAAACAAATCTATTCTGCTGAATAACAAAACGGGAGAGATGAGTGTAAAGTGTAAAATTGAAATTAAAACAAGATCAGAACTGAAATAACCCAACAGAAGACCCAACCTAAACTAACACTAACCCTGAAATCACTGAATCTGTGGATTAATTTCTTCTTCACCTGTTTTTTATTGTTGTCTTCTTCTTTTTCTTCTTCTTCTTCTTCTTCCTCCTCTCAGTGGAGGAAACTAGTACAGTAGTCTAATTAGAGTTTTAAAGTAAATATCTCAATTTTATAGTACTTTATACTCTTTTATTGATATAGTTGCACTCTAAAACTCTAAAAAAGGCTATTTTGAAAAATGAGTACTTTTACTTTAGAGGATAAAGTATTTTTTTTCTGATAATACTAATAATAATTCTTCCAAAATGTATTCCTTTGTTTGCTGTTTTGTCATTTGGGTTAAGATCCTGTTACTGTGAGGCATTAACATATGATTCATATCATTTTCATATTCATCAGACCATTCAGGGACCCTTCTAGCCCTGTATGGAAAGTTCTTATAGGCATATACTGTATCTTTTGGTTTTGTTTGTCACATATTTGTATATGACCATGTTTAAACAAACAATAGCAATAGCCCTGTATGATAAAATATTCATCAAATATACATAAATGTCAATCCATGAAATTAAACAACATTTGTGTGTTTGTTGTTATTTATTTTCATCATTATCATGAATCATGACCCAAAACAGAGTGTGGAATATGAAAAACAGCAGCTGCATGTCTGCTGGAACTGGAACAGAAGCTCCTGTAGCGCCTCCTGGAGAGCAGGAGTGTCCTCAGCAAGGTGGTAATGGTCCAGAAGCATCTCAATTAATGTGGATCTAATCTTGTCACCATAGTGAGATCTGCATATGCCTGATATGACAAACTTTTGAAACAAAGTTAGCTCCCTTAAAGAACAACATTTCCATTTTTTTCTTCATCTGTGTCAAACAAATTCATAAAACAATGTACACTCTTAAGTCATCATAGCGTTTTAAAAAGATGGAACTTACTTTTCACTTATCACATATTACACACCTCATACAAACTATAATATTTAACTAATTTTGGTCTCTGAGTAGGCCACAGTCCAGTTCAGACCAGAAGGACTGGACTGGAGAAGAGGACAGGGTGGGGTCCGTGTATGGTCCGTAATCCGTGTATCATTCGTTCTTTTCATATTCAATTGAGATTCCAAAATCGGAAAATGAAAAAACGGTTTGTTATTTCCTTATTCGTTTATGAATCTGATACCAAAAACAAATAACGGTTTATTTTTTTGTATTTTCGATTTATTGCTCAGATCAAAAATAGGAAATTAAATAACGGACCACGGAAAGATTTTGATTTTTGATATTTAATTTGTCCGATTTGTGTGAACCGGAAGTTATTGTCTTCTTCGTGTGTTGCACTTCGAAGTTTACGTTAGCCTTGAAAACTGAGGATGGAGAGTTTCATCTTGTTCAGAGGAAGTAAACGGGTGACTGTAAAGGAAGACGACATGACGACCGAAAAAATCGGCAGGATCTTCCAGGTAACTTATTGTAGTTTAATCTAAAAATAAGTCTTATTTATTCTGTAAAATTGCACTGACGTAACGTTAACTGTTAGCTATGTTATTTTATAGCTAACGTTAACGTTACTTAACGTTACGTTGTACTGAACCCCGTCCTTAACTGTTTACATTTGAAAAGGTACATGGCCCCAGTCTCTACATCACCGATGACAGCAACGTAGCCCTATTTCCTGGGCCTGATGGCCACTTTAGCACTTTAGACCTCATAGTAAGGGGGCATTACGAGGTGCACGGCGAGAGTATCAGCGTGGAGGACTCATCTACCGGCAGTGTGCCAGTAACACACAACCCTACCCGCTTTTCCTTCCACCGCCCACCCAGCGCTGCTGCAGGTTCTGGTGCAAGGGCTTCTGCAAATCCAAGAGCTACCCTGGCAAAAACATTCCAAAGGTGACCCAATAAAGCTTTCACCATCACACCAAAGTTAAGAGTATGTTAAACGATTACAGTTGTGTTCAAGGCAATGATCTGCTTTTTATGCTAGCCATAACTACATACAGACTTACATAAGACTTATAACAATTATTCACGTGTGACTTTAGCAAATTTGACACTGATAATACATCTGCAGAAGAATGACTTTCAATGAAATGGCTACATTATGCTATCAAGTTACTCCACTATTATGGAATATAATTCACCTGGATGCATTGTATAGGCTGTATTATGAATATGGCTGTATTATAGGAATAAGGCCTAAACAATATAAAATGTGTAAAATGAATGTTTTTTTTTATATCAATATTCAGGAACATCTTCATCGCTGAACTTGTGAATGGCAACTTGGAGACAAGCAAAACGCTGACTGTGCGTTTTTCAGAATTTGAGGCTTCTGTTATGGGCATCCTCAGCAAAGTCAATGATGCTCTTGAAGAAGAGGATTCACGCATCCTCACTGACGGCCAGGGAAACAAAATCTTGGACTCGGAAGGAACCAGAGGTATAGCTGAACGCTTTGTATTGTTTATTAGAAAGAAATATGAAATTGTACGTCTAAAACCAACATACTTTTTATGTATGCTTAGAATTAACTTATTTGTATTAGGCGTTATTGCCCAGTGGTTGGAAAACCATCCCATCTCCTGAGACATGTCATGCCATTTGCACAATTAATGGACTATTTTCTATACAGGATCAGCATTTTGGAAGCAAAATGCAAGGAAAGTTTTTGCTGTGCAGGAAGAACACTTCTTGCAATTACAAGCTAGTAAAAAGAGGAGACTGAGGTACTTAATTTGGAAAACGCACATTTTTATGGTTGCAAATTTGTATGTTCTCATAAATTCATAGGTGAGGAGTAACTGTAAGATGTTTTGCGAATATAGGCCCCATTACAAATAGTCACAAATTATTCCAGGGAAAGACTCTATAGAGAATCACACATTTACTTGACTGATTTTAGTGTAGGTGTTCACTTTCATTTTCTGTCCAGTTTCTGGGATTGCATGAGATTTAGGGTTGATATTATTTATGGATTAATGTGTTAATCAAAAATAATTCTGAATAACGAATTAGATTAATGGAAGTAACAGCAGGTAACATTGTGCATAAAACCATCTGGCTATTAAATGCTAGGTCTACAATGATCGTAGTAGCTATTGACACGGTTAAATTTTTGCATTTGTTGAATATAATTTGCTTCTTGTATATTGTGTTGTTTTTCAGTCGACGAGAAGATACAGGCCTCGAAGGCGTTTTTGATAGAATTGAAGAGGTGGTCCTGGCAGCCCAGGGACTGCAAGAAGTGTCCACTACAATGAAGGAGCTGATGGAGTTTGCAAATTCCAACCGCAGGACAACACTGTCCCTGACTGAGGCCCAAGCAGAAGCTATTAGAGATGCCTTTGCCTGTATTGTCTGCAAAAGTAATTTTTTAAAAATATTGTTTTCTTTAAAAACCTGTATTACCCATAATTCGGAAGTTGTTAAAAAATCTACACTTTGCAATGTCTTATTCAGCAGTGAATGACAATTGCTGATAATTAGATAAGTATGGAAAATCCCAGGTCAGGTGTTCTAACAACCACAAATGTGGATACAGTAAATAAACAGATGGTACCATAGACAAAGTTTTGTCTACTTAACACAGATATAAGTGCAACTAATTAACTCTTTCCATGAAGAACATAGACCAAATATAGCAATTCAATTCATTCAAATACTGTTTTCTGATTTAAATTGACAGGTCCAGTGGTTGAGCCCATGGTTTCATCGTGCTGCCAAAGCCTTGTTGGCTGTAGGAGCTGCATTGAAGAGTGGCAGAGAAATTCTGCCTTTTGCCCAAAGTGTCGAGCTGATGGTTTTGGTGACAACATTCAAAGACTAAACGGACTCTCTGATGCATTGGCTGCATTGGGAAGCATACTCTGGGAGTAATACTGTACAGAATGCAATCATGAGTAATTGCAGTTTTACTGTTCTGTGTTGTCTACAGTTTAAGCAGTCTTTCATGTACATTTAGGTTTTTTTAAGTTTATTTTATGTTGGATATTTTCTTAAATTGTTTGCATTTGGAAACTCTTACTATTCACAAAAGTGTAGTTTTTCTGCTTTGTGTTCTATTTGTCCTTGAACAACAAGTCTACAGGTAAAGCACTCTTTCATGTGTCTAGTTTATAAGGTCTTTTTAGTTTTCATACCCATATTTCAATGATGTGAAAGCTAAGTTACAATCTCAAATTTGCACTATTTTATGTTGTATATTTTTCAGAATTTTAAAGTTAACAGTTTGAATTAAGCATAAAAAGTCTGCCCTTCTGGCAATACTGGTGCAATACTTTTTCATTGTATGCAAGATTTTATTTAACTAAAAAAGTTCAATACAACAGAGTTTAAAGCAAAGATTTATTTGTCTAATTATTCAACTGACAAGTTGGGGGCACAGTGGCAGCTACATACAATTTTTAAATAAATCTGGATTCCTTGGTTTTTTTTAAGACCAGGGTTATCCAGGGTGCTCTCTGGCAACATACAGTAAAAAGTGCAACAATTAAGAGGGTATCAATAGAGACTGTATGCAGACTGATTACTGTTTGATAAAGTAAAGAACAAACACACTGAGACCAATCCATAGTTGATTCCAACAGTGTGGAGGCCAATTGAGATTTTGTACAAAAACTATAATTGCATAAAGGGTTGACAAACTTTGAATCAGCACTGTAGCATAACAACTGTTTTCCTAGCTACTGAACAACACCACAGCAGTTCAGTTCAGTTCACATATCTTTGGGTGACATTTATGAGACACAACAAGGCATCTTGGAAAGGTGTATAGTCATTGTTTACCACATGATTAAAAAGAAGAGAGATGTCAGGGTAGTTCTCTGCAAAGTCTTGTTCTGCATGACATCTATCCTCCTCAGATGAAAATGGGTCAGTTCCAAAAACTGACACCCAAGTCAGCGAGGATCCAAACTCTTGCTCATACATGTTAGCCACAACAGAGGCATTGGGCAGCAGCTCTTCGGAGATTTTAGCTGGACAGCCACCTGCAGCGAGTTCATTGGGTATCCCACGGCCTAAAACAAGATAACAAATAACTAACAAAACAATGCTATTTATGCTGTATGTGGCTGGAGTGTGAAAAAATAACTGCTTCAAAGTGTTGTACATATTCAGTTTAGCATACCTGGGATCCTGTGTGCATTCCACGATTGTACCACTCTGCCTAGTCCAATTTGGCTTAATTGACATGTCAGGTTTGAAATGCAGAATTTAGTCATATTGTCCTCCATGTTGAGGACTTCTTGGTCCAGCAGGTGTACCAGGGCCTGTTTCAATGGGTAGTTCACACGATTGTTCACCTCGGGCCAAATCCTTTCCACTCGAAGATTCTGTTGAACACAAAACATGATTTCAGATGGTATGAAAATGTAATAGATTATAGATTAGTTTGGGAAATTCAATCCCATTTTAAAAGCTTTCATTTCTTATTTATTAGAAGAAAAAATGGTCAGAGTCTTTCTTTCTTTACTATGTTTGATTATATTGGTTGTACTGTTTGTCCGTATTACAAAGACCTCACCCTTGTTGATGTTGTTTGAAGGTATGGTGGCCTGCTAGGGTTGTGTCTATGTCTTGATAGCATCTCTTGCATGTACAAGCACATGTAAAACTCCCTGCCATGGTCAACCCTGAGTTGGTCCCACATGCCATGGTTAACCACTGCAGATCTGGGATAAAACAATGTGTACATGTGCAAAGGAATGCACTGAACTTAACTGATCCAATAAGAAAATTACACTCAATGAAAAGAGAATATACATTGCACAGAAAATATTATGACAATACCATTGGTTCTGAATGTATTCACCTGTAAACTTCCTCATAAATCACAAGGTTGTTTTTCACTGGCATGGTGGCATTGGCAACAATTTTGCTGCTGTAGCCATCAACTGCCACGACGTGTGTCACTCCAAACATCACAAGCTTCTCGTTTTGGTCCAGGTGAATTTTATGGCCCATATATTCAGCATGATACGGGATGGGATTTAGATTACGAGCACCCTGAAGAAAATGTTTATATTTGATTAATGCAGCTCTTTGTCACATCAGCACAGAATATTCACGAACCATTTTTACAACAAAGAGATTCTTATATGCATGGGCTGGTTATATTATTCTTATTCTATTATTCTTTTAAGTTCAACTCCTAAATATATTTAAGATATTTCGAAAGATGATCTACACCAATCAGCCATAACATTACGACCACTGACAGGTAATGTGAATAACACTCATTATCTTGTTACCATGACACCCGTCGGTGGCTGGGATATATTAGGCAGCAAGTAAACATCATAACCTCATAGCTGATATGTTATTAATATTATTATTAATATTATTATTAGACTGCATAACAATATACTGTACTTGATGTTTCATTGAATTCTTAGCATATGACTTACCTGGTGTCGGAATTCGTGGTATGGCTGATGAATCTCTCTGAGGATTTTCCCAACTCGACATTCTCCTGCACGCACTCCCATTGAAGACAGATAGCCAGTCATGAACTTGCGGCCATAAGATGGGCCCGTCTGTTAAGAAAAATACAGCTATGAGGACATGATGTTTAAAAGACGGGCAGGATATAAAATGTGAAAACCTAATTAAAAACTTACTTCATATATTGATCCAACCACAGCCCTCTCTAGTTCTGTGTCCGATACATGTCTTTTTCGCTTAAGGTCATGCTGAACACAGAATCTTCTTACACTCATTTCAGAACACTGCTGGATACCCATCTGCTGCAGTGTAGTAGAAATCTCGACATGTGTCTTGCCAGTTTTAAATAAGTCTTCAATTAAATCGGCATATGGTTCCAGTGCGGCCATGGTGTCGATACGAAATCACTGCAGGATTGAGTTTTTTCAGGGTTTGCGAAACTGCTGCAAACTTCCAAGTGCAACACACGAAGAAGACAATAACTTCCGGTTCCACAAAGTGAAAACATTAAATATCAAAATCAAAATCTTTCCGTGGCCCGTTATTTCATTTCCTATGTTTGATCTGAGCAATAAATCTAAAGTACAAAAAATGAAACGTTATTTGTTTTTTGGTATCAGATTCATAAACGAATAAGGAAATAACAAACCGTTTTTTCATTTTTCGATTTTTGGAATCTTATTGAATATGAAAAGAACGAATGATACACGGATTGACAATCCGTCAATGTACTGTACTGTACCTGTACTGTTCTAAATACCTTTATTTTGAAAACCGGAAGTAAATACGCTGTTTCTCCGCATTTACCATAATGTTGAGAATACTTGTACACTCGAAATTTAAGTGCGGCTGTTTTGACCACGGAGATCGGACTCACGGCTGGATTGACCGCAGTCTACTAGCCTACTGTTTCTTCTACACAGCACCGTCCTGTAAATGACAACATCCGGTCTCAGAATATGAAAAAACAGGCCTTTTTTCCGTTTCTGTTTTCTAGTGATTTTATTTTTTGTTATATGAAATAGAAAATGAAAATCGAATAATTTTTTTAGTTTCGCTCATCCCTTTTTGACCATGAAAAAGAAAAACGCCTTGTATTTAAATTTAAATTTTTGTATTTTAAAACGAAAATCAAATAACCACTCGTTTTCTGTTTTTTAATACCCGTTTCTGAAAGGAAAATCCAATGACCAAAACATACACGGACCTTGGAGGTTCATGGGAAGCTTTGCCCATCTTTGTGTCAGAGGTTATGTCTACATTGTCAAACTATCAGTGTCTTGATAGCAGGACAGTGGACTAACAGTGAGGATTTCTCTTTACAGGGGCAGCAACAGTTAGATCCTCCAAGTGTTACTCACAAAGTGATGCAGAGGATTGTGATGTTTCACAGGACAGATTTAAACGTACTGACAGGAGGGAGGGATAGGACGATTCATTATCAGGTTTTTACAGAAAGGTTTGGTCCCCTTCTGAGTTTGTCGGTCCCTGACCTCATAGTCGGGCAGTGGAGAGAAAACTTGAACGATCAAGATGCTGAAATTTTGAGTTTCCTTTTAAAATTTTCCTCAAACATAATATAAATAAGTTATCTTTAATACCTGCTGTATCGAATTTGATACACACATTTTCAACATGGTTTTACTATAAATTAAGTTATGAAATATTAATTAATTTTACATTACATCAATCCATTAAATATAATATTACACCGATGATGTAGAGGTCTCAACAACTCATGTATCAAATATGATACATTTGGCTTTACACGGTTAAACAAATGAATCTACTATGCAGTCAGGATGCAGTGAGTCTGGGGCCACAGTGTTAGCAAAGACTGGCCTCACCTGAATCACCGAAGTAATTCATTCAAATGCCTAAAACAACCTTTTTTTCCCCTAACAATCAACATATAGTGTGATGTTGTCATCACAACCCTTGGTAGCTGGCTGTACAAAGTTTCTGACTTTGACACCATAGTGATTGTAGTTGCAATTCATCTCCTACCAACAGTCAGCATGGGCTTCTTTTATCCCTAACCTTAACCTCTCCCTAACATGCTGCTTAACAACAGTCAGTGCCTTTAAACACTTACAATGACCTAACCTTAGTTTTCTGTGCCTGCAGTGGATGAAGACATTTATTCAACAGTACTTTTGACTTGTGACTGCATGTTATGATATCAAATGGAGTGTTACATTATAACAGTGCACCCACTCATCTTCTGCCACTGCAGTAAGTAGATGTACATGCATTTGCAACACAGTCTTTAGATCTTCAGCAAAACTTTTCTTGCATGTAGGCCTTGCATATGACAGATAACATAAGATTTAGTTATACTAAGAATAAGTAGCATACTTTCTTGTAACTATTATTTGCACTCTTCAATCTCACCTCCAGTTATTGTCAATATTTTTGTGTGCATTAGACCCTGAAGAAAGTGTGTTAGAGATCAGTGATAGGGTGTCCCTCCCAGTCACAGATATCAATAAGCATTTTTCTTTAATGTTTTTCTCCATCTGTACAACTCCTGTCAAACCATGTCCTGTGTTCCCTTTCTTGTGTGTTATATGGTCCGATATGGAACACGTCAACACCAGTACAGTTTTAAGGAGAATTTCTACTAGGCCAAGTACTTGTGGCTGTGCCTGCCTTAGGTTGTCCCCAGGTTCTGTAGGGGATCTTACCCGTCATAGGCGAACCAGTCTTCCCTACTTGCCAGTTTTTTTTTTTATGTTTTTCTCCATCTATACATCTCCTGTCAAATCATGTCCTGGTATCCTGCACATTGTACAAAAACACCGGTCACGGGACAGTGTCACTGTGCCTGCTCACAGTGGCTTTGGGGTCAAGTACTCGTGGCTGTACCTGTCTTAGGTTGTCCCAAGGTTTAACAGGGGGATCTTACCCGTCATTGGTGAATCAGTCTTCCATACCTGACCCTTTCTTATGAGTTATATGGTCCGATATGGACACCAGTACAATTTTAACTTCAGGAGTACATACAAGTATAAGCATCAAAATATACTAAAAAATAGTCTACAAGAAGTACTCATCATGCAGGAAGACCCATTTCAGAATAATATATCGGCCTATGGCATAATCGGAGTATTATTTCATCCGTGTGTAAACATTAATTTTGTGGCAATTTTAACTACTTCATATAGTGCTGGGTAGCTTAATGTAGTGGAGGAAAATGTAAAATATTTGCCTGCAAATTAAAATGGAGTTGAAGTATAAAAAAACACAAAATATAAATACCTGAAAATTGCACTTAAGTATAGGTACTGAGTAACTTTATGCAGTTACATTCCACCACTGAAAAATGTAAACCTGTGCTTATTGCACAGATATGAGAGTGGTATTGATTCTGTCTAACTTTTGGCAAGAAATTTAGTTTTTTGGCAAGAAATTAAGTTTTTCCATACATTTTATTATTATTTTAGTTTTTAAAAGTTTATGTGAATCATGTAACTAACATGGATACATTTGCTTATTTAAAACAAAATGAAAAAATGCCTTGTGTCAAAGGTCTCTCACCCCTTTGCTCGTGCTCCTCCAAGATCATGAAAGGGTTGATGTCCTCACTAGACAAAAGTCTCTCACCCTTTCGTCTGTGCTCCTTCCAGATCGTGGGAGGGCTGAGGTCAAAAACCACAGTCAAAAAAGTCTACACACGCCCCTGCTCAGGCCGGGAATCTCATCAAGGTGAAGTTTTGGGCAGATTTGCCCATGTACAACAATTTCCTGTTGATGGTGAATATTGCGTCGTTATGGCAACAGCATTTGATGAAAAATCACAAGTTTCACTATTTAGCATCATCAAAGTTTTAAGACTAAGATGACCACATATGAGGTGGATCTCATTAATCTAGTAGGTGTAGCAGATTAAGGGAGGAAATCTGACATTTTCTGTTTCCACTACGGTTTAGGGTAGTGCTCAAAGAGACTTTTTTTATAGGTCTGGGCATGATATCAAGACTGCAAACCTTTTAGTCAATGTGAATTATTTTATATACTGCTAAGAAAAACTACAATTCCGGTCCATTTGCACACATGCAAACAAGTAAAATAAAGATTACAGATTACAATTGTGTTATGCAAGACAAAATATGTATTTGCATCTCATTACAGCAAAAGATGCACATTTGACTGTAATGGTATTTGTAATGAAGCTAATGAAAAAAGTAATTTAACTGACAGCACAATGCAGGGAAATTAATGTGCTTCTTCTCCAGCACAATACAGTTCTACTAAGCATAAAAACTAAAGTAAAAAGTGTTTTTTATCACAGATGTAAAGTGGTCTTACCTCTCCAAAGGTTGATTTAGGAATGAGGCCAGAATTCTGTTCAGCTGCAGTTATGCAAGTGAGTCCATTATGATGTCAGAGAACAGAACATCAGCATTCTAATTCCTCTGTCAGTTCTGTTTTAAATCAACACAATAATTTATTTTGACTACCCAAACTTATCCTGCCAGTCCAGAAATCAAACTACAAACCTCCTGGTCATAAGCACAACTCTCAAACCTTTGGGCCACCATTAGTGCTTCAAAGTTATGCTATTGTTATTCTTTCGCCCCATGTACCTTCACACTGCTCTGCACAATTTCCAAAGGGGCGAGGGTTAGCCAGCTAATGTATTTCCAAACTTTTGCCCATCTCACATGGCATGTATGTATATCAAACATCAAAACTGTAATGAGACATCTTCTAATAATAACAACATGTAAACAAAACAAACACAATATATACATCATTTCAGGCAACATGTTTTTTTGGAAAATACATAAATTATACATCAAATGGCAGAAGAAAGGGTAAAACTACATTTTTATTACAAAAAACGGCGACTGAGGGACTACAGGTCTGACACTGTGGTCAGTAGCACGGGAGCGCCGCAAGGGACTGAGCACTCTCCGGTACTGTTCATCCTGTGCACGTCGGACTTCAAATACAACTCAGAGTCCTGTCACGTGCAAAGGTTCGCAGACGACACGGCTATCGTGGGCTGTATCAGGAGTGACCAGGAGGAGGAGTACAGGAAACTCATCCAGGACTTTGTCACATGGTGTGACTCCAACCAACTGCGCCTCAACACCACCAAGACCAAAGAGATGGTGGGGATGAATAAAGTATTTATGTCATCCATCTAATTTATCTAATCTAATCTAAATTAAATGTTTCCCACTGTATGTGAAGAGCCAACTTAGTCTTTGTGCTGCTTATGAACTATTGTTATTTTTAAAACAGTTTATGTTCCATCTAAGTATTTATGGTAAACAGTACAACAGAAAATAAAATTAAACTCATTGAGAATGTGTGAGAAAGTTTCTCAAAACCTAGAAGTGTCTGCCTCATAATTATGAGGGAAAAAAACACTTCATATTAATAATGAAAACCATTTGAAGTGGCAGAAATGGGCTTCCATACCAGCTGATCTGTTGTCGGTATACCACCCAATGCAACTGAGATGGATCAAAGTGAAATTGA